GCTGAATGACAGTTTTCATGTAACCAGGTCTCAGTTAAAAACAAAGTCAAGGCTATGTTCGGTGATAAAATCATTGATTAGAAATGATTTTCCTGCTAAAGATCGAACATTTAGTAAAGCTAACTTAAGCATTCTCAAAGTATCATCATGTTTTGGAACAGGCTGTATGTTTACTTTTGATAAAAACCTTATAGAGTGGAGCTCTCTGTGTTCTGACAGAGCTACATTTCTCCTTCTGTTACATATCAAAACAGGGATAGTAAAACCTTCTGAACAGGGTCCCAGCTTGTTCTGGGAAAGTTTATGACTACTAACCTCGCAGCCCGGAACCCCAGCACATCATACGTCAGATTGTCGAAGGGGGGGGTGAGGTGGCCCCCCTACCCTTGATCGTTCTGGTAGGGGGTGTACGGGGGATAAAAAGGCGTTTTATCAGGAATCGAGCCGAGGGTTCGATTCCTGAAGGATGGACACGGCCTCTCACATCAACACCACCTTATCCGACACACCTGAATAATTTCAATGAACTACTTGAAACCAAATTAAAAAAGAAAACTAATCATATCAATAGTTCTGCAAATCTGTTACTTTTTGCAAAAACGACATCAAAATCAATGTTTGACACCAACGTAGCTGACCTTTGACCTCTGAGGTAGGAGTGACATCAGCAGAGATGCTCGCTGAGGTTTCCCCATCTTCCCACGATCGTTTAATTTTATTCGGTTGTTTATTTAACACGATTAAAAATAAATGTGTCCCACTTGTTTAATTTATCGATAGGAAAACAGATTTTCTTTGTTGTAAAAGAAAAAATGTCTACATGTCCAAAGCAGAGAATTTTTATCATCAGATTCCGTTCTTCTCACCATAACCTTATAGAAATAAACAATAAATAAAATCACTATACTTTAGTAATTGATTTTACCATGGTGGGGGGGGGGGGTAATCTTTTTAAAGGAAAAGTCTGGTCAGTGAGGAATAATCAGTGAGTCATTATTTAGACCTAAAACTAAAATGTTTGCAGTAATTTAATGACTTTTGTGTTAATCAGTAAAAGAATAAAAACAATAATTTTCGTGGTGATCACCGAGTCCAGGAGCGGCCATTTTTGCCATAATAAGTAATACCTCTTTCCGTAAAAGTTCAAAAATTATCCCTGGACTTGGTTTCCCAGATTTGAAGACGTTTCGCCACCTCTCCAGGAAGCTTTCTCAATTCTAATGTCTGGATCTGCAGTAAGTTTGAGTCTTTATA